TGTACAAAGAGATAAATAAAATCAATTAAACTAAACTCAATATAAATCTAGCTTATGGAAATTATAATCAAAATAATAAATTGCTAGATGAGTTTAGAAACACTTCTCTAAAGATGACAAGAGAGTGGGAGAAGAGTGAATGCTCAAACACCAAAGGATGATCTCCACTTGCCCTTGTGAAATTTGCTTCACAAACAAAACTCTTAAACACTCTTTTAAACAAACACAAAATACCCTTAAACTTGTTTTTACAATTCTCTTGGTTAGGTGGGAGAGCTAAATGCAATGGGGTATTTATAACAACCCAAGACATCAGCCAAAACCCCAAGGAAATGACCAAAAACCCACACAAAAACAGATCTGGAAAATAGCCGTTACTGTTCAACGGTCATATTTATAAGTCGACTTATAGTCGACTTGGTATAAGTCGACTTGGTATAAAAACGTAAATCGACTTGCCAGATGAAAATAACACACAAAAATCAGCACATAAGTCGACTTGAAAAATGGCATAAGTCGACTTAGTCTAAGTCGACTTAGCAGTTCGAATAAGTCGACTTGGCAGAGAGTTTTGTTTGCACATTCCAGAGCATTTCATAAGTCGACTTGTCAACTCTGATAAGTCGACTTATAAACGTGCACATTGTCAACTCTGATAAGTCGACTTATAAACGTGCACAGGCACTGTACATGCTGAAAATCTGATTTTAAAGTGCCTTTAAAAATAACAAATAAATTCAAACGTGCACAGGCACTGTACATGCTGAAAATCTGATTTTAAAGTGCCTTTAAAAATAACAAATAAATTCAGAAAAATATAAAACTTTGGAAAATGATTTTAAACATGATAATAAACATGTTACAAATTTTTTTTTTGGAATAACACTTCCCAAAAGTGAAAACTCATCATTTTATAAAACTAGTCCAAAACATGAAAAGTAAACATACATGTTTTTGACATTTGACATAAACCATGTTTTGAAACTTTGTAAAATGATTTTATATACTTAATAAAATATGTATAAACTGATATTGAAGTCTATAAACTAATAAAAAAATATCTTATAAAAAAACACTTATATTTTGATAAAATCAACAAATACGTGTGTGTGATTAATATGAGCTTAAAGTATTAACACACAAGTATAAAACCTAAACTAAATATACCCAAGCTTGATTGATCTTCAATGTAGCTCAACTTGGTACACTTGCGGATGAAGTTTGACTTGGATCTTTAACATGAATTGCATAAGCTTCACCGACATTCCGCCAACCTCCATTGGATATCATCGTTGAAGCTCTATTCCATCCATCCTCTAACTCGTTGTTTGCCTAGAATAAATACGAAAACACAAACACTAGACAAATAACATTAGTTGTAAATTGTTTGTTAAACATCATCAAAACAAGAAGGCCAACACCCTCAACCACTCGATCAGCTTCGAATCCAAAGACCTTGGTATCATTTATAACCCAAGGTACTCTATCACCAACAAGCGAAGTAGGAGAGCGAATCATAATACTTGCCCCACTCGTATTAGAGTCACCTCAACCCAAAGAGCTAACTCATTTCAACAACCAATCTCATCATGGAGGTAAAACTATAAAGAAACAAATATGAACAAGATAAAACACAAGCATACACCTATTGAGAGGAAAAAAGTTCAAATTTTTATTCATATATCACATAATTTACATCATTTTTTACATTTATATTTATTAAAAAAAAGAGAAAGATACATTAGACTCTCATGGAGCTTGGCTCGGGTCGGGAGTAGGACTTGGAA